GGTAGAAGTTACTTAACATTTAGTTTCTAAACATTCTATGAAGGCCAAAGTCACAAATCTTTCAGGCTGGGGATGTGGGTTGGTGGGAGAGTACTTGTCTAGCCTGTGTGGGTTTGATCATCTGTGGGGGGAGGCTTGTAAAGTAGATATAATCTCAGTGACTTGGGAGGCTTAGGAGGGAGGATACCAAGTTTGAGGCCAGCCTCAGCAACTCTAAATAAATAAATACCTCAATAGTAGAGTGACCTCCAGTTCAATTCCTTGTACAAAAATAAAGAGAAAAAAAATCTTTCAAGCTGCACTGAGAAAACAATGAATCAAGTAAAATCCCTCCATCTACAGTTACACATTGCTGATCTTAAAATGGGCACTCCACAGATACCTTTGCTTGTTAATTCGTAACAATCGAAACCTCAAGTATCTGCATGTGTGAGAAAGGCACTACACAAGATTCACCTGTACCATACCTATAAAGAAGGGGTACTGTTATGCATACCTGTGCTTAAATGTTCTACATTAAAATTAGCTATGCCACGCAGCTTGGTGCACACAAGGCCCTAAGCAACTCAGCAAGACCCTGTCTCAAAATAAAAAATAAAAAGGGGCTGGGGATGTGGCTGAGTGGTTGAGCACCCAGGGTTCATTCCCTGGTACAAAAATTAAAAAAAAAAAAAAAAAAATAGTTTGTGATATCCTAAGACTTTGAAGTTGGCCCACAGTGAGGGTTTATACATGATGGCTAATGGGCACACTGGTGGTCATGGCACCATCCTATTCCGTACTTTACTATTTACTATTAAAATACAACGCTAGCTTCTAAATGGAGACTTAAAGTAAAATGCATTTAAAACCTCATCCAATTTATGTGTTAAACAAGTATTCCAAATAAAAGTTATTATTTTTTTTCAAGAACATTTGAGTTTAAAGGATTCTCCTTGGGAAAAAAACATATATTACCTATAATATTATGCCATTTTCTCTCCTTTATTTAAATATGTTTCCTGCTACACATAATCCTAATCAAGGCCAACAGCTAAATTGTGAATGTTTGATCAAAAATAGTTAGGCTGTAGGCAGGTGTGGCAGTACACGTCTCTAATCCCAGCTACTCAGAAGGCTGAAGGAGTATTGGAAGCTTGAGATCAGCCTCAGAAACTTAGCAAAACCCTATTTCAAAATAAAAAATAAAAAGAGTTGGGGATGTAGTTCAAAGATAGAGCATCCCTGGGTTCAACCACCAGTACCAAAAAAAAAAAAAAGTATAAAAATTTTTCAGAAATTGAAAGTTGCAGAAATTTAACTAAAAACCACCATCCTGTTCCCTCCATGTCAGCAACTTTGCCATTCCCTCTCCCATGCCCAACAGCCCACAACATAACAAAAAAAGGACAGTGCTATTTATATAATCACATACGGGTTCATACAATGCCAACAAGATAGAGGTGGCTCTTTCAACCAAACTCAGCTAAAACAACCTTTCTTTCTTTTTTTTTTTTTTTTTTTTTGAGGGGTGGGGAGAGAGAGAGAGAATTTTAATATTTATTTTTTAGTTTTTCGGCAGACACAACATCTTTGTTTGTATGTGGTGCTGAGGATTGAACCCGGGCTGCACGCATGCCAGGTGAGCGTGCTACCACTTGAGCCACATCCCCAGCCCCTAAAACAACCTTTCAAAGTCACAACTATTTCCACACTCACCTTTACCTCCAAGAGGAAAAAAATTTAAGCGTATACCTTGAAGTCACCCCCAAGACTTCCTATGCTGCATCTTTTATATTTGTAACCTAAAATGCAACCCAATGTAATCCTCTCTTCATTTGGTATGTAATTGGATGTGGAGGACCTCAAGCTCTATATGGTACTACTATAATCTTCCCCAACTGAAGGATATCTGAATGCAGAAAAGCCACATTCCTTCCACATTCCCTTGAGACTTGGGTAATCAGGAAGTAAGCTTGGTCTGAACCAATCTCAACAATACCCCTTTTCGCACCCAACAGTGCTAGCAGTTACAGCTAGGCCAGTTTGCCAAGCATCCAATCACCTCCTGGACCTGCTCCCCTGTTTAGTCAGTGCAAGTCCATTCATCCATCTCAGAGTGCTGCCATAAGCATTCTCTGGCACCAGGTTCCCAATATGCCTTGCACAGCAGGTATAAAGGTCACTGCTACACAAAGGGGTGTGGCTGTCTCAGATGCTCACGTGATGATGGGATGGAATGAAACTACTTCTAAGCATTAAGAGCACAATTTGGGGGCCGGGGCTGTAGCTCAGTGGTAAAGCACTTACCTTGCATGTGTGAGGCACTGGGTTTGATCCCCAGCACCACATAAAAATAAAGATACTGTGTGTTCATCTACAACTAAAAGCAAAACAAAACAAACAAAAAAGAACACAATCTGGAGCCAAGCACTGTGGTGTATACCTGTAATCCCAGCAGCTGGGGAAACTGAGGCAGAAGGATCACAAGTTCAAAGTCCACCTCAGCAACTTATTGAGGCCCTAAGCAACTAAGCATGACCCTGTCTTAAAATTAAACATAAAAAGGGCTGGGGATGTGGCTTAGTGGTTAAGAGCCTCTGGGTTCAATACCAAGGTCCAGAATAAATAAATAAATAACACCACACCACCTGAAATCCAGCAGGCTTACAGGATTGACCTGAGGCAATCAACTTGCTATCAAACCCCACCATTGCCACCTCTTAACCTAGCCATAGGTACTGGGCACATGGTCCCCAGGATGCCTTCTTGGCCCTCTTCCAGACCCTGCACAAATGAAACAATCCAGATAAGGAAAACTACATCATAGCTCCAAGGTTCAGTTAAAGCAAAATTGTAATGTAGATTTCCAGCAAATTTACCAAGGCAGAAAAAGAAGGCTCTACTTTTAAGACATTTCAGCAGAAGCAAAGGATTTATAGTACTCAGCTGTTCTTTCAAATCAGTTTTTATAAGTCTCCAATGTACTCAGTCCTGTTTACTTTGCTAGCAAAATACTATCATTTAAAATCCTAAGCATTTTAGCTAGTGAAAAATGAGCTTGAAAATTTAATCTACATTATTAATAAACTGAAGAAGTTTTCCACTGATAAATATTTGCTGCTACTGGTAACATTTTGCTTTCTGTTTTCCAAAAGAGGAACTTGTGTTTATTATAAAGTAACAAGTAACTAAGCATATTTTTAGGCTGCAGCAAAAGCCTTTAAGAATAAAACAGTTGTTACCAGACAATGTTTCTAATTTAATTCCCTACACATGTGGAGAAACTAACCTCAGATTGTAAAAGAAAAGCAGAGGATAAGGTGAATTACATGCACGTCAATGAACTGTAGAACTCAAGACATTTAGATACTCTGAAATGCTAAAATGCGAGTTCTTCAAATAAAATCATTTGCCTATCTTTAATACAACATTTGATGAAAACTAAGGGCTGGGAAAGGAGCTCAGTGGTAGAGTGCTTCCCTAGTATGCTTGAGGACCTGGATTCAATCTCCAGAACAAAAAAAAAAAAAAAGGAAAACACATTGACTAAACATGAAACCAATTAGAATTTGTAGAATGTGCTTACAGTTTTTTTTACCCAAGGTAATCAACTCATAGATTTTATCTTTAAACTTTCTTTGAGGGGATATGACTTCTCCCTTCATTTTTCAATCCTGTAAAACTAAGATCAATTTAGATACTTTTCAGTACCCATTATTTTAGAAGGTTCTTAAAAAGAAGTATACAGTACTATAACTTGATCCCTACCAAAATGCCCAACTATAATTAAATAAGGTCACTTGACTATCTCTCCAATTATCCTAATGAAAATTAAGCACATAAAGAAAGAAATCCACAAAAATCCAAACCAGTTCTGCACTATATATGTGAAAATGCTGTGCCTGGGAGAAAAAAGTTCAATCTAGAAACAGGCAGAATTTTTTTTTTTTTTTCCTGCCACCTATCTCTGCAAAGCTAACCCCTCAGGCTCTCCAGCACACACACACACACACACACTCACCAATACTTAAGGAGACACAAGCAGACCTGGTTTGAATTAACTTCAAGCTTATTGTTTGGCACAGGATGGGGGAAGGTAGAAGGCAGTAACCCTAACCCCACTTTGCAAAACCCACAAGGGTACAGGCCAACCCCAGAGGCACTGGGAGGGACCAGTTCCTTTCCAGTTAGAATTACAGAGCCCTGAACAGGCCTGCACTAGAGAAAGAAGCCATTTCTTCAAAACACTTCAGTGGCTAAAGAGTCTGCAAATATTTTGTAAAGTGACACACTACATATGCTCTTGGAGAAGAGAAATCCCACTGCTGAAATAGCACAAATCTTCCAGACTTCACTATCTCTGGGTGGTTATTTGTATGCAGAAATCATACCAAAGGGCCAGGAAGCATGGACAAAGGCAGTGTATGCAGAAACCTGCATAACTCTGGAGTGATTGAAAGGCACTTCTGGGTTGGAGAAGCCCAGGTTCACTCACATATTCCAACACTCACTAGCCAGCATACAGGGTTTAAAAAAAAAAAAAAAAAAAAAACCTTTCCTCTCAGAAGCGCCCACCATGGTGTCTCAACCAAAGAAAGAGAAGGCAGGGCTGCCACACCAAAAGAAGTGGACAGCTACCTTCACCTATCCTGGACCTGTAGGTATGGGGATCATCCATAGCTTCCTAAATCTGGCAGATTCTCAAAGACTGATCCTAGAGATTGATTTCCTGCTCTAGTAACTTGACCTGCTCTGCAAAGAACATTAGCTGTGAGAGCTTCCTTGACAGACTTTTATAACCAGTAACAATAAACCAGCAGCAGGGGCCACAGACAAGCCCTCTATTCCTTCCCAGAATTATCAACAAACAGCCTTGCCATAAACTTAAACCGAGGGAAAAGACAAGAAAGGCCAAGCCATACTGCAGTCACTTAAGTGTAAAAGAAAAAGAAATTGTTTTCAGCTGTGTTTTGTCTTGCCTCCTCAAAACTGGGTAAGAACAAAATAAGCAAGCTCACCTTTGCCTTTTGGGGACCGAGTGTTCAACTTCTATGGGTTTCCCGTGCAGTTCCATTTTACCTGTGGAAATACAAGAGGTGAGACCTTCGGTCAGGTTCGGCGGCTCTCCCTACCCTAAAGACCTACACAGACTAAGCGGCGACACAAATGGTTCCTGACACCCGGAATGGACCCCACGGCCCGGACGAGGCTCAAGGCTGAAGAGAGTAGCCAGGGCCACTAAATAGGAAGCTGACCCCCTCAGGTGGGTGTGGGTTTTAAACTTACAGATGGTTGAGGAAAGAGATCAATTGTTGGACCCACGATCTGGGTAACATTCTAGCCCCCCCCCCCCCCGCCGCCGCCTCTCCCCCCACATCAAAGAGTCACCCAACCCAAGGTCCGCAAAAGGGAGGTGGCCACTACTCTCATCTCCTGGACACTCCCCAAGGGGCAAACTCGGGGGAGGGGGCGCCCCGTCCCTTCTCTCTGTTCAAACCCAGGCCCGACCCGAACACTTCGCGGTGGAGAGGGCAGGGAGTGGCAGGAAGGGGTCGGGGACAGCAGAGGAGAAAGAGTGTACAGCCAGAGATATAGCTCAGTCAACTGAACCCAGGCGCCACCAGCGGCTAAGCGTCCCCATCAAGTCTGAGCTATAAAGAAGCCAAAAGGCACAGGATTCCCAAAGGGTCCCCACTGCATCTTTCCTTTGAGTGTCCCACGCCAGCCCGAGGTCCTACCACGCACTGTCCCCGGGGCCGAGAGCACCCAGTCACCCCCAGAGGCCGCAGTCGCCCAATGCTGGGGCCGGGAGAGCGGCTAAAGGCGCAGCACCGTGGCTGTGGCTCCCTTTCTGGAGACAGGCGGCCGCCTCCGCCCACCTGCCCCCTTGCTTGTCCGACGGGGTGAAGTGGAACCCGGTAATCCGGCCCATTCGCTCCTCTCCAGCAGGGTGGAGAGGGAGCGCTGGGCCGCTTGTGCGAGGCACCAGCCCGCGCGGCCTCACGGGCAACTGGGTCGAGGGCACTTTCTGTTCTCCAGGGCCGGGGGACAGAGAAGCAGACGCTGTAAATAACGTCCAGAGGAAAACACCAAGGAAGAAGAAACAAGCGCGCGTCTGCGCCCGGCCTCGGAGGCCCCGGGCCTGGAGCACGCGCTGGGCCCGGCCCGGGCGGGGCGGTGGGAGAGCGCGCCTTCCAGCCCGCGCCGGGGCGGTCTTGACAGCGCGTCTGCCCTCGCCGGGCGAACGTGGCCCGGGGGGGCGAGTTGCGGACCCCAAATTGCAGCTGAAGCCGAGGAAAGCCCCGTGCCCCTACGCGTGTGAGCGCTCGGGCCTCAGCCCCGCTCCAAGCTCGGGCCGGGCCTGGGGCCCCGCGGAGACGCCCGGCCCGCTAGGGCAGGCGGCGCAGGGCCGAGGCGGACGGGCGCCCGGGCTGGGGCCCACCTGAAAGCGCCTCGATGGCCTTGAGGGCCCAGCTCTCGTCCGGACAGTCCACGAACGCGTAGCCCGTCTTCACCAGGAAGGGTCCCGACACCGGGATTTTAGCGTCCTTGAAGATACTTTCTAGGTCCGAAGGGGCGGCGTTCTCGCTGAGGTTTCCGATATACAGTTTGTTCATTGTTAAGAGTGGTCGTTTTAGAAAAAAATGAGAAAAACGAAAAATTAAAACCACCCACGGTGATGGATGGATCCGGAGGGTTTTGTTCTCGTCTTCTCGCCTTTAAAATACACAAACACAGTAAGAACCAAGTATAAGAACGAGAAGCGAAAAATCGGATCCGAGGGTTCTTGTTTTTCCAAGTATTAAAAAAAAGAGAAAGAAAAGAAAATGCCTAGCTACAACCCAAACGCATCAACGACTCTTCCTAACTCTGAGGAGGAGGCGGGATTAGCGAGAGAAAGGAGGAGGAGGAGGGGAAAAAACTACTTTTTGTCTCTTCTCCCCAACCCCTTTGGCATCGGCCAAAGGACTGTGAAAATATCACACTACGAGAGGCAGGCGCCGCCTCCCCATAAAAAACCCAGAAGGGTGACTGGCAGGAGGGAGGGGAGACGGAGAGGAGGGAGGAAGGCGCAGGAGGCGGAAAAAATCCGCTCGGAGTGTCCGGCTTTTTGAATGAGCCACGTGTTCAAACTACAAATCAACGTCTCACGTGAGGAATCCCAGCGCCTCAATTAGAATGGGTTTCGGAGGAAAGGGAGGAAAAAAAAAAAAAAAAAGAGCAAGCGAGAGGAAGAGGGGGAGGGGAAACGAGATTGGGCGAGGGACCCTGAGGAGGGGGAGGAGGAATAGGGAAAAATGCTAAAGCAGCCGCAGCCGGGCTGCAGAGGGGAGTGCAGCGCGGGGAGCTGATTGTCACCACCCGAGTTTAGAAAGGGTTATCTGGTTAGGGCGGATCCGAGAAGGGAGGAAGGGTTAGAATCCTGATTTTCCTTTTAAATAAGGAAAAGAGTAACGGTGCTAACTTGACAATTCCTCAGCTCTAGCTCCTCTAGTTTTAATCATTCGATTTTTAAAAATAGGTGATTAACAACAAAACCGAACAGTCACAATCTTGAACTCTCCTGGTGGCTTTGATGACAAGGAGGAGTGTAACCCCGGCAAAGACTCGAGCACGTTTACAAGGCTGGCGGAAACGCAGACAGGGAGTGGGTTGGGTGGGGGCGGGAGAGGCGGGCAGACGCGCCGCACCCTCTGCACCCTCCTCGGGCCTCGGGCAGCCGGGTGTGGGGCGGCTGGGGGCCCTGGTGGTGGGGGAGGGGAGCCCGCGGCGTCCTGGGCGGGTGTCTGGGCGACACCTCCTCCGCCTGAGCTCGCGGTGGCTCTAGGCTTCGCGTTTGCCATTGGCTGCTCGGTTCAGAAAGACTCAGGGATAAATGAGGCCGGGGGCGGGCTTGGCCACCGGTGGGGGAAGGGAGCGCAGGAGCGGAGGTTTCTGCTGTGGGGATGGGGACCTCGGGGGTTTGGGCAGCCGGAGGAGCAAAGTCAAAGTGGGAAAAGTCGGTACTTAAAGGGAAACCCTCTCTTCCTGTGGTTTCTTAGAGGGGGAGGGTCTGGGTAGGCTAGCACTTTCATTTAAATAATTTTAGTTGGAGAACTTGGGACTCTTAAACAGGAAGACTGCTCTGCGTTTCCCCTAGGTGGTATTCGCTCTTGAAAAACTACTGGAGTCTCTTTCTGCCTGCATTTGACCATGCGAGCCATTCATAATTTTTCCTGTATGTAAGGAGTACAATGGTTGGTGAGTGGGGGAGGGTCTGGGCCCGGTGGAGCCTTCCAGGGCCAACAAAATGTGAACTGGACACCAGGAATACGGAAACAGAGGCAGTGCTGAGGTTCTTGTGGAAATCTCCAACCTTCGTTTAATGGTTGTGTACTGCACTCAAAAGCCTTCGTTTGTATCAGATACTTGTGATATATTTTTAACAAGAATTTCATGAAAAAGACAAAAAGCTAATTTTTAAAATGTAAAATTCTATTTAGCATGGAAATAGAAACACTCATAACTTGATATTCTTAATAGAAAAGTGTGTGAAGAGAAAAATAATTGTGATTTATATTGGAAACATCAGTAATTGACAACTGATAAAGTTTGCGTCTCTGTCAAAACTGTGGCACTTAAAAGGATGTTTTCCAATTAACAGGTGGATAGCAGATTATTTTTAAACTTTGGAATTATTTCAGGATATAAAGGGTCTTTATATTTTGTCTTTTAAAAAGAACTTAGAATTTTATGTTAAGTAACCGGAAGGTGTCAGATCATCCATTTTAAATGCCACTGTTCTAACAGGTTTTTCTTTCCTGCCAAGCAAATTCAACTTTATAAATGTAAACACACTTTCACAATATCTTCATTTAGTTTAATTTAGTGAGATGTTTTAACTTTGAGATGGGAAAAACGTGTTTTTGTGTCAGTGTTTAGAACTGTATTAATGAGCTCAATATGGAAATATTTCAGTGGCGAAATTTCTCTTTTTAGAGAACCTACTATTTTTCACTTTCGTGCTTTTCAAGAGACGGTTCTAAAAAGGGAAAAATACAATGTATGCTTATGACTTCTTTAGTACTCTGTCAATATAAAGTTATGAATTTATTTTTTAAAGTACCTGTTGCATGTGATCAAAAATTATTTGGAGAAATGTTTTTGATTTGTATTTGCTTTTCTAAAGATCACTTTAAATATTACAATCTGTTGGTCATTTAACTCTTAGTTAATTTTTTTTCATAACAGGTCTGTTATATTCAGCTTGCTTCCAAAGTTGATGGGAATGGTGGCTTCTGGATAGTTGAGTGTATTTGTTCTTATTAAAACCAAGACCAAAGGAAATAACTACTTGTAAACCATGAGGAAAATTGTTTATTTTTCATAAATACTAGCCCATGCTTATCTGTCACTATCAAACAAATTTAACAGCTGGAATTTAAAACAAATGTGTGCTGTTTTGATGAAATGTGTTCCTGGGACTCTTGTGAACTTAATCTGTGTATTATTGTAATAAACTGGATACTCTGGCTAGGAACTTAAAAACATACACGAGCAATAAAAGCTCAGACATCAAAAAGGGACAGGGATATAACCTACTTACAATCTTGCAAGCATTTGAGGGATATATACTCAACGGCAGAGTAAAAAGATCATGGGTAACAGTGCAAAAATATCTTCGGTGGATTTTTAAGCACGAATATAAGTCGGTATAATTTACTGTCTTTATTAATCTCACACCAATTAACTGAATCTGGACTACTCCAAGTTCATTTGAAACAGTTGTGGCTTCTAATTAATTTTAATTCCACAAAGAAAGGACTCCCGCTCATCTATTTACTCTTTGGACAGTTGCACCTCATCTGCTGACCTAACGGACAGTAAAAATGTTTCTTGTGGTCAGTGCAGTATTACAGGGGAAAAGGTATGTATAGGAGGTCGGTTACCGATGCCGCATCCACGGGTTGTGGGGGAAATGCTGGGCAGGCGTGGGGGGAAAGGGCAATCCTGTCGCTCCCACCCCGCTCCCGACCGCCTGCGACCTTCACGCGAGTGGGCACAACAATGCCCGCCGCGTCTCCAGGGCCTTATAGGAGGCATTTTTAACACACTCCTAGTCTTTCAAACAGCTCTACTGGACTCTGATCTGTTTAAACTAGTGGGTTGATTAGCGGTACCTGGTTCTGCCCACGCTCCAGAATCTGTCATTTACTTTTGTTTGAAATTAAAAAAAAAAAAAAAAAAGTGCCCAGGAGATGGGGTGGTTTTGTTTCCATTTTCCTCCGGCTCTACCCGGAGAAAGAGGGCGGGATCCTCCCAGCTCAACACTAGGGAAGGTCTTTCGTGGATCGCCTGCCGCCAGGCAGGGCCTTGACCACTGGACGGCCCTCCCCTGGTCCTGCCGCGGGACAGCGCACTTCTGGCTCCGCCTTGGGGTGCGTCCCTCCGCGAGGAGCCGCGTGGCGAGGCTAGACGTGAGGGCCGGGGGGAGCCTCCATGGTTCCCCTCGCAGAGCAACCCCACCTGAGATCCTTGCTTTCCCCGCACCCGGCGCGAGCCGCGGGATCCGATTGGCAGTGTACATCTGGTGACCCTCCCGCACCTCCGGTCTCAGTTTCGGGCACGCGAAGGGCTCCCCTGGGCTCGAGATGCTCGATACCCACGGAGAAAGAGAACAAGAAGCCCTCGCAGATCCCAGTGTCTCCGCCTGGGGCGGGGCCGGGCCGCGAGACGGCGCGCGAAAGCGTCCCCGGGGCGGGGCTCCAAGACCAAGTTGAGCAACCGGCGTCGAGAGAGACACCGCCCCTGGCTAGCGGGGGTGGTCCTCTCATCCGATTGGCGGAGGAAGGGAGCCTATCATCGTTGGCTGCCTCCTCCCGAGCCGTTTGCTGGTTTCCACCCATTGGCCCCCGAGCCGCCCCTGGATTTCCATCTTTTGTGGCGCGAAAATAACCCTTTGCTCCCTCAATGGTTTTGTTGTGATTGAGGGGTCGGATCGGGTTCCTTTTTTCTTGCGCTCATTTTTCCTGCCCTTTAACTGCTCGCCCCCAACTCCAACCCCCAAGGAAGAAGAAGGGAGGTAGCTGTTAGGAGGGGTGGAAAATAGTTTTGCGTCCGCGTGGGAAGCCCGCCCTTTGGGCTGACCGCGTGGTGCCCGCAGAATCCCCTCCCTTCCCCCACCGTCCAGCGCCCAGAGGTCCTGGGTTTGCGCCATGCTCAGCAGCTGGAGTCACACACATCTTCGTTTCCAACCACTTAGAATTTATACCTTTTTTTGTTTGTTTGTTTAAAACTACAACCAGATACGTTTCCAGATGCCTGAACTTTCCTGGGCTTATAGAGAGATCGGCTCATTCTGCCCCTCCCTTTCTAACCCCCTTGGTCCGCAGGGTTGTTTTAAGCAAAACCAAACAACCCCTCCAAAAAAAGCAAACGAAAAATTCCGGGTAAGATCAACTATGCCGAGACCACGTTTTCGTTAAAACAGCCCTAAGAGCAGTCAAGCTGAGGCCGACCTTGAAGGATTAACGATTTCTGTAGCTGAAATATTCTAATTTTACTGACGTTTGATGGACATGGTGAGAAAAAATTCATATGAATTTGGCTTGGAAAAACACGAAACAAACGAAATAATCATATTTAATTGGGTTAACTTAAAAGGTAGATAGCCACAGTGGTGCATTCTAGGTACTGATGCTTTGGGTAGGTTTTTATTATTTTAAAATAATGTTATTGGTCTTTTCAAAAATAAACTAACAAGATCAGAACTCTGATCATAACAGAAAAGAAGGAAGTATAGATTTGTTTGGTATATCTAATTTCATAACAGACTTTACCAATCTTTCATTATCTGGAGAAAAGGAAATGTTCCTGTTGGGAATATGACTTACTAATTTGTGCACAGATAATTGAAAAAGTCTTGACATACTCGATTTGGTCAAAAACCAATGAAACAATCATTCCTCGGGAAACATTAAAAACTTAGGTAAAA